AAAGAAGTTAAATTTGCCTAGGACCATACAGTTAATAAGTCAGATAACAGTATGACTCCAGAATTCGTAATCTTAATTTTACTCTTAGCACTTCTAATATACAAGTAATATTTTTAGAAACACATGTAGTGTTTTTTTTAAAGTCTAATAAAACTGTATACCCAAACCTGAAACCTGTAATAGAAACATACAGGACTTACATATTTAACAATGCACACATACTTCAGACATAAAAAGACTTTGAAAATAACTCTTGGAGGGGGAGGGTATGGCTCAATGGTAAAGTGCACACCTAGCATGCATGAGGTCCTGGATTCAATCCTCAGTACCTCCATTAAACAAACAAACAAACAAACAAACCTAATACCCCCTACACAAACAAAAAAGATTTTTTAAGAGAAAATAACTCTTAGTTTGTAGATAATTAAGGCTAAAAACAAATGGGATTCCTGGAAAATAGTTTGAGTTACAGTGCTAATATTTTCCCATTTTTTTGGACAGATGACCAAATTCACAACTCATATTTAGTACAAAGGTGATGTAAAATGCTAAACTTCCTCATCTATAGCTTACACTGTGCGGTAATATGCTCTAGTTGTAGAAAACAACAAAGATAAGGCAGACATGGTTCAAACTCATCACATACCCCTGGACGGCTTGAATCTATCACAGGGCTTTTACAAAGATTTCCATAAAAGATCACGTTTTGTGATAAACTACCCCATTTCTAATAACTCCACCAAAATTAACTCTAAACCACTTCACTACTTTTTCTCCTTCTCATTAAGAAACTCCAACCTTCATGTTACTTATTTCTAGCAATGCCTAAGTCAACTGGCTTGTAAGAAATAAAACCAAATACTCTTAAATGAAAAGTGAAGTGTAAAACTTCCCTTCACCATGCCCACCTCCCACACATTCACACACCCTTACCTGCGTTTCTGCACTGCTTAATGAATGAAGATCCAAGGATGGGTCTGTTTTGAGCTCAGGTTCAGGAGCTGCAATTGGGGCCTTTAAAATGATCTCTTCATCAAGACTGGCTCCAAATTCTATCTCTTTCTGACCTTCTTCACCTTTCTCTTTAGCTGATTCTAATTCTTTGCCTTCTTCTTCAGAGACCTGAGACTTAGGCCTTTTGAGAAAAGAGGAGAAGAGCCGCGACAGGCCCCTGTTTTCTGATGTCCGCTCCTTGTTCTTGGTCAAGTCTTCATGTGTTGGAGTGCCTCCATTAGATGTTTTCAGCTTCTGCTCACACTGATTATCTCCCTCGGCTGCTGCTTGAGAAGCCTCTTCCAGCTGAATTTCCTGTTGACCCGAGTTTGTGGCTCCCTCACTCTCTTCCTTCTGTTGTTGGTGCTGTGGATTTTCAGCCTCAGCCACTAAGCTCTTCTCTGTTGTCATGATGTTGCTATTAAAAAGATGAAAAGGGTGTCTCTTAGAAGCAAAACATTATTGAAGGCAAAACCCTCAATCAGGTCAAGAGTGCCAGAATTAATATATTTAGTTATTTAATCAGCAATAGACAGTACTTTAGCCCATTAAGCATGAGACTCTCCATTAAAGCACAAAAATATATTTCCTATACATCCTGGATAAATTATTAATGCTTTGACTTGCTAAAGTTATAACATAGAGAAATTAGCTTAAAATAGTACCCCCTGAAGCCACATTAGTGAAATGCATCATATTTTAAATCCAAACTCAGAACTGTATACAGCAAATACAGTTTTCTCCTTCCTTAAAAGAGATCTTATTTTTATACTGTCCTTTGAGGGTATATCAATCTGCAGGTGCAAGGTTTCCAGGAATCATCTGCAAATTTCTCTGTATCTCAAGAGATGATGAGATTAAAAGGTTCCCCAACTCTTTATTGTTCTTTTTCTTTATATTTCTCAGAATGCATAGACTTCTCTACTAAGGACAGAAATGCAGAATTTTGATCATTTGTTATCAGACCTTACAACAGCAATGACAAATACACAGTTAAAATAACAACAAAAAATTCCTTAGGTTTTCATGTTACAATACTAAATTACAGCCTCTTCCAGAAGTATCCAACTTTAAATTCTTTAAGACCGTTTTCCCTTCTGAGAAACATGATTTTGAATGCTCATCATTTTTAAGAGCAGCAGTGAACTATTACAACAGAGGGAAATAGAGAAATAATAGAAAAAAATAAAGAAATGAAGTAGAAGAAAAATTTAGAAAGCAAGTGTTGATTCAATTTTAAGAGAAAGCAAGCTATAGACCTCACATATTTTAAACTTGTTGGTTTCTAGCCTCTTGATCTCAAAAATCCCAGTATTATTAGTCAAGCCTCATAATAACAGCCAAAGAGCAATGTCAAACCTAGTTTACCAAAGAATAACCAATACACAAGGGAACTTCTGAAACTCTAGGCAATAAAGTTGACTACTGATGATCTTACACTTCAATTCACTGCTATACCTAAAAGTACTCCACTCAAAAGCAGTATTTACATTATCTTTGCTTCTGCTCCATACTGTTTAGATGAAGTAATTTCCTTTGGATGTCAACAGTCTAAATTAATGAACCATATTTAGCCCATTCCCTCCCTCAGATCCTTTATATTTGCTGTTCTCTCTACCTATGCTGTTCTTCCCTGGCTATTTGAAAGCTGGTCCCTCTCATCATTACTGGCTTTGCTCAGATGTCACCTCTTTAGAAAGGCCTCCAGGACACATTCTGTCTAAGATAATGGCCCTTATTCCTCCAGATGGCTTCACAGCACTAATGCACTTTTTATTATTTACAATTATCCTGTTACCTTATTTGTTTACTGGTTTATTGTCTTCTCTTCCCCCAAATAAAAGTCTCAAGAGGACAGAATAGTACCTGGCACATTATAAGCATTAATAAAAGTCTGTTGAATAAGTTAATTTCAACTGAATATAACTGACAAATAAAAACTACAAAGGCATTCTCTAAATTATTCAGGTAAATTGACTTCAAACACACAGGTCCTATGCTAGATCCTAGAGATACAACAGTAAACAAAACAAAACAAAAAAAGATCTAGTCATCATGGATGATTCAATTTTAATAAAAATAATGAAAGAAAAATTCAAGAGAACTCCAATTTACAATATGAGTGAAATCTAAATACTTGTGTATAAATGGAACAAAGCAGTGAAAAGGGAAGGAAGCTAATGGTATTGAGCACTATTTCTGTGTCAGGACCTATGTCAGGGGCATTATCTACATTATCTCAAACAAGCCTTTCAATAACCATGCAAGGGAAAGAGAAATCACTTAATCTCATAGTTAAGGAAACTAAAAGTCAGAAAGTAACTGGTCATGCTGTTAGCAGGTGACAAACCACAACAAGTGGTATTGAAATAAATAAAGGTATATTAATAAAAGGAAAAGTCTTTACGTGAGCTCTTACTGCAGATCTATTCAAATTACTTCATTTTGAGCATTAAAAAATTTGTAAGTAATAAAAATATTTAAGAAGCACATTTTCTATTCTTATCTACTAAGTCATCAAAATTACTCTGCTTTAATAAAATAAAATATGGCAATTCGGTCTTTGTAAGTACTACTTAAACATTTACCATCCAATACACATTCTGAATTTGTTACCCTTCAGTGAGTTATGCTTGTACTTAAATGAAAGAAATAAAACTGTCTTCTGACACAAACAGATGGAAAGATATACCATGTTCTTGGATTGGAGGAATCAATATTGTTCAAATGGCCATACTACCCAAGGCAATATACAGATTCACTGCAGTCCCTATCAAATTACCAATGGCATTTTTCACAGAACTGGAACAAAAAAATGTTAAAATTCTTCTGGAAACACAAACCCTGAATAACCAAAACAATCTCGAGAAAGAAGAACAGAGCTAGGGTAATCATGCCCCCTGACTTCACACTATACTACAAAGCTATGGTAATCAAAAAAAGTATGGTACTGGCACAAAAACAGACACACAGATCAATGGAACAGGATAGAAAGTCCAGAAATAAACCCATGCACTTACGGTCAATTAATCTATGACAAAGGAGGCAAGAAAATACAATGGAGAAAAGACAGTCTCTTCAATAAGTGGTGCTGGGAAAAATGGACAGCGACATGTAAAAGAATGAAATTAGAGCATTCTCTAACACCGTATACAAAAATAAACTCAAAATGGATTATAGATCTAAATGTAAGACTGGATATTATAAAACTCCTAGAGGAAAACATAGGCAGAACACTCTGACATAAATTGCAGCAATTCTTTTTTTGAACCAGCTCCTTGAGTAATGGAAATACAAGCAAAAATAAGCAAAATTAAAGGCTTTTGCACAGCTATGGATACCATCAACAAAATGAAAAGACAACCTATAAAATGGGAGAAAATATTTGTAAATGACGCAACCAACAAGGGACTAATTTCTAAAATACATAAACAGCTCATACAGCTTAATTAAAAAAAAAAAAAAGCAACCGAATCAAAAAATGGGCAGAAGATCTAAACAGGCATGTCTCCAAAAAAGACATCCAGATGGACCAAA